TGCATCATCCCCAACCTCCCCAGTGGCTCACGATGCACATGGGGAAGGACGTATCGTGTAAGAAAGCACCCCTGAACATGAGTGCTCGAGGCACCCTTCATTCAACCACCCAACCCCTTGCTGTAGGTGCAGCTACCTGCAGTTAGCACTTATCCTGGAGATGCAGAAGGTAACCAACCCTGCCGCTCAAGGCTCCGGAAGATCCCATTTTATGCCCCTTTTAAAGCCAGTACTTCCCTTTCCTCCCAGTCTGTGTCCCAGATCTTGAAAGCATCCCTCATGCTCGTTGCGTAACTCTTAGCGTGCCAACACCAACCCTCAAAACCTGCTTGCGGCAGGTGAGGAGGAAAGACGTGCAGGGGAGTAATTTCCATCACCCAGTTCTTCAGCAGCAAGCCCCAGGGTAGAAGCAGTCTATTGGCATTTTCTAATTATGCTAACTACCCATAAACCGTGGTGGCAGGGAGGCTATGCCTACCAGAGAGAGCACAGTGCACCACAGAGACGCCCGAGCCACCACCAAAGGCAGTAGCTAGCCTCAGTACTAGAATCACTATCATTAGCATAGTACTCCACCTAAGCTAATAAATGCTATTTCACTGGAAGGCTAATTAGCCAAAAACTGCTCTTCTAAGGTATACTGCTTCTCATACGCAAGACAGTTCACTAAAGCTCACTTGGGTACTGATGCTGAGCATCGCTCTGTTCAACGTAGACATGTCCCTAGTGCCCATCTATAGCTTTGGGCTCTTGTGGATTCAAGTCTCTCTTTGCTTGTTGACATCTGTATTTTTCGAGCACAGGAAAGCTATTGTATAGCATTAGGATTACAGAGGAAGGGGGAGCCTCTTAGTTATCTAAACAGAGGTCTGAAGTTCAGCCCTGGAAGCCTGGTGCAAGCGATGCGTTTTTTTTATTTTTTATTTCCCCAAAACAGGCTCCCCCACATGTGACAGTCACATTTCTGTACAAGAGACACTGTCAGCATCTTTTAAAAACTTCTGCTTTAGTCAGGAACTCCCTTGACTGGCCCTAAAGTACTCTCTAAATTGGCACATTCTTCCTCTCTTACACTATAACTAAAAAACCATAAAATCAAATGGTTGAAAATGTCCTGTTAACTGTACTAAGTTGTAAAAGCAAATGAAGAAACAACAGTCTAAAAATCTTTAATTCTACTTCAGAATGTGTAATGCAGATAGTACAAGATGCTCGCTAACAAGTTCCACTTAAAAAGAAGCTATTTTTATTTTCTGCTGTAATCCTCATCCTCTCATGTTTCTTTTATATTATTCCACCTTAGTCCCATGTGCATTTTGAGCTCTTAGGAACTTTACTTCATTCTTGCTTATAAAAACATCTTCCTTTTCCACCACATTGTGATAATAATAAAGATATACTACAATCAGAGGAATAGTAATAATAACCAAAATCTGTATTATGAATCTCATTGAAATGAATTCCAAGGAGTACCTAGTCTGACCCCGCTTTGCCGACTGCCACAGACAGTACGGATGCAGATGGCCTGAGAGAATTCATACAAAATATCAACAGAGACCTTGCAGAGGCGTTCCAGCAGGGTCTGCTGGCACATGGAGATGCGAGTACCAAAGACAACAGCAGCAGAAACGGCATTTTTTTTTCCCTAGACCTTAGTTTTCCAGTACAAAAGTGGAAACAGATTATATCAAAATAGACTCTATTGATTGCATAGAAAAAATAAAAATAAAAATTTAGGATTTGATTTACAATAGAAAATATACCAAAATTAAGCCAATGACAATGTAAGTGTGAACTATGATGCATTTAATTCACATTTTAATTTAATAAAACCTCAGTCTGATATGCAGCTCATATGGCACATAAGATCAGCAACTGGGCTACATCCCTTACAATACCTAGGCACTGTGAAGTGACAGCCTTAACCTGGAGTTTTATTTGTCTCCAAGCTTAAAAGGTACTCCGATATGTACTTCTACATAATATACTTCATCAGAATTTATGAAGAGGAGAATTCCAAGTCAGCAATGGGAGAGGATGAGTATATACAGAGTAGCTGTGGCATCACAGGATACAACATGGAAGCTAGTCATCCTCAGAACCAGAAAACAGGAGGACTAGGCCAGTAAATTTCTTATTCTGCTAAATCCTCAAATTCTTTCATCTGTTCTCATTGTCAGATAAGGACCACAGTATGCTGGTTTGCTCTGGGAACACCAATACACGCCCTTATGACAAGTATTTATTAAAATGAAGAATCTTTATAAAAACAACATTGATAACTTCCCCTCAAATGTAGAAAAGCAGTGATCAGATGCTCATCTGAAGTATTTAAATACACATTAAACATACGTATAATGGTACCCCTAGTAGTATCCACAAGTATTTCCTAGGGTATCCTTCATCATTATACCTTCACTCTTAAGTGATCGTTTACTGTGTTGCTTGTGCAGCCATCACCTACAGCAGTTACAATAAAAGGTGGATTAACTCATAGGACAGGCTCTTTATTGCACTTGTTTTGATCAAGGGTCAGATATATTTTATTTTGCCCTACAATTGCAGTATTCATCTAAAATAATCTTAAAATGATCACCACCACATGCATGAGGATGAGTTTTTAGATCAGCCCTCTCCTAAATCAAGGTTACGTTTAAGACACAAACACACCCTGAGACGTTCACACTCAAAATAAGAGGTCAAAGGAAAAAAAACAAAAAGTCACCCTGGTTATTTTGCCTTCAGAATTTTTAAATATTTTCCCAACATCTCAGCAAAATTATGCATTTTAAAAAGACTGCAGGCACTGAAATGATTGTCAGTCATGCAAATAATCACTTACTTACACTGTATGAGTTTGGTTTGGATAAAGCAAATTACCATTTGAAAATAACTTGAAAAACACTCTGGGCTAAGAGCTTGCTTTATAAATTTTAGCTTGGCCACAATATTTCTCAACCTTTTTCTCCTCAATCTCCATTCAGTCGCTATACTAATACAGTCTAAATTAAAAAAAAAAAAAAAAGCATTCAATTGCCACAGGTGCATTCCACATTATTTCAAACATAATCTGGTAAAGAAATAGTAAATATTGGCTGCGGCTGAAGGTCAAAACCCAACTAACTTCAGAGTTATGCAGAAGCAATCCTTTCTTCTGCTTTTTTTCCCCTGTGATGATATTGGGCTTTGTCTAAAAAAAACCCCAAATCTTGCATCTAGAGTTAGATGTTGAATAAAATACATATTAGAAACAAGAGAGCTGATATCAGTCTGTGTTTCTAATTACGCTGCTGAGAAAGTTTTACACTCACACAGTTGTTTATGAACATCTTCATTTTGTCCATCACTGATGAAAATATCTTTTTGATACAATTTCAAGTGCAACAAGCACAATAAAAACATGAAAGCTGTCCTGCTCTGTGAGATGAGGTTTAACACAAGAGCAGGACATTAAGAAGAGCACACAGTAAGATGTGAGATCTTCCTCCTTTACCAGTTGGGGTAACAGTCTAATGATTTTACCCACCTAATCACCTTCTGCTTTGGACAAACGATCACTGTGTGTATGACTTCAGGCTAATTTGTCAGGTCTCGTTCGACCCCATTTGCCAGGGCTGACAAGTCCAAAAGAGCCGATTTAATATATGAGACAGGGTTATCACAACTTCATCTCCAAAACTAGGCCTGGGCCACATGATTTCCTAAAGTATGCCAAAACCACGAGACCCCTTTAAAATGGCTCAACATCAAATATGCTGAGCATCCACAGCGTTCCCTCACTCTTGAAACACATGGTCTCTATAGCAGATGCTTAAAGATATATAGGTACTGACCTCCACCTCCATCCAGGCAGCCAAGTCCCTAAGGAAAACAAGAGGATTTTAACCCACTTGCCAAAAACAGGTTTAAAGACTTAATTTTGGACATCGACTTCTAAACGATTTGCATCAGCGCTTTAGAATATAAAGTCTTCCAAGACACTGAAATGCAAACCTTGCAGTGTGAATGTCAATAGAGTGCACGACCTAAGCTCCTATACTAAAAATCTCTCTACCCCAGACTACCCCAAATATATATTTAGCCTTTGAAATAACTGTTAGTACAAGCTGGCCAGGGACAAAGATCTCAAGTGTGGCCAGAACTTACTATCAGATCAAAAGCCATACTCTTGCAGAGTCATTACAGTGCTTCACATCCTTATTTCAGAAAAAAAAAAAAAAAAAGTACCCAGAATCGTGTTGGTTTTAAGAGTATAATCAAATTGCAGAATCATACTCTATTTAGTGTCAGTCCCATTGAAGCAAAGTTCCTGTTCGGTGGGAGAAGAGTCCCTTATAACAGGAAAAACAATTGTGCCAGGTTTAATCAAAAGTGAAAAGGATCTAGCGAATGTTCCCTTTGAGCCACATAACCCACCGCTAATTTCAAGACGGGCTCTGAAACGAGGGTAATAAAAAACGTCCTTCAGAGTAACCGAGGAAGACTGAAGAGCAACTACTGCTACAGCTAATGCCAACATCTGCAAGTCTGCTCCCCACTACTGGGATGCTTTTCACCTACCTGGAAAGCAATAAAAGATGAGGTAGGGGAGGGAGGAGGGAATAAAATCCCACTGCAACACACCGAGGGAAATATAGTTTCTTGACTACAGGCTTATCACTTTTACTGTTCTCTAGCATTTCTTTCTCCTCCTTGACCTCCCCTGTACAAATATATACAGAGCTGAGGAGCAGGCAACTCCTTAAAGACAAAAACAAGTGGGAAATAACTAAAACAAGTGGGAAATCACTCATCCTGAACGATGCACGTTTGTGCGACACGCACTAAGGACAAGCTCGCCTGAATAGCCTCTGATTATCAAAATACATTTATCAATTAGGGGATTTGCATATTATCAAACTCTTTCATTAGCGATACTTTAGCTGATTAGTTAGAACGTCACCATAAATAGAGAGTTTTGACAGGCTGGACGCAATTTATGACGTGGAAAATGTACTGACCTGCTCACATCAGGAAACCTGACTGGAAAATAAAGAACTTGGCACTTCGGTCTGATTATTTTTTCCAAATCCTTAGGTCTGTGGTCAGGAATCAGCTTCATAAATTTTCCAATGGATGTAAGAAACGATTCCATATTAAAAGCCGAGTTGAACACCACCACATCAGCAACCAAACTGTAAAAAGCAGTTAAGATTAATGAACGTACTGCTACTGCAAAAGGAACAGAGTAATTTTACATGAGGTGGAAACAGGATACATATTCTCATAAACAAACAAAAGGTGCAAGTGGAACGCTAATTAAAATCAGCCTTTTCACATGAATGAGGAAGAGTATTTGTACCTTAATCAGAACTGTCTTGATTTCTGTCTGTTCACTCTGAAATATTTTTAAGCTTTAAGTAATAAATTACTGTTATTAATCTAAAGGAGCACACTATATTCTATCTGTGGGTTACTGTTTATTCATAAAATGGTAAGAATAGTATTACTGTCATTATCTCTTAAGAGAATTATAAACAGATAAGGCTCACAGTAATATGACTTTTGTAGAAGTAAACTTAGAAGAAAATGAAAATTCCTTAGAACTAATCCTTTGCACCAAAGGACAACTTACCTTTGGATAACCTACCTTCAACTGACCATATGTGTCAGGTATCAGGATACTAGAGAAACAGAATGTTGTTTAAACCTATGAGTACATAATCCTGATTTTAATCATATATTCACCAAAAAAAAAAATATATATATATATATATATA